AGGACAAAATTATCATAATAATACTACGAGAGTCTATCAATAATAACTTTCAACGTGTTGTCATTGATACTGGCTCGCGTTTTCTGCTGGTATTGAAGCACCATGTAAAAAATTCTACGTAAAAAATTTATCTTTCAAATAACTAGTCCTTGTCTTGCATGCTTTCCCTTACTATTAACACATAAACTATTCGAAGTAGCACTGTTTCAGAATGCGTCTAGCCTTGCATAGTATCATTTAACGGCATTTTCACAAAGCAAAACCTTGCTCCAGGAAAATATACGGTGAATAACAGAAATATTTTCGAAAATTCATGAAAACTAACATTTATTTAATTCTATAGAATTTTAATCGAAGAGTCTTGATGCACATTCACAGAGTACACCTTTCACAAAGCTCAACAAAAATGTTTGCTTAGTTTGCTCCAATGGTTTGACACTATGAAAACTCAAAGAGATATCGAGCAAGAAGTTAGGAGATCATTTATGTTGGGAAACCATTATTTTCTAGTACTATGAGTATGCTATGAAACCACAGAAAAAGTAAACTGCTTTACACTTATGATCATTCGGTGTGACCGAAAAATATACAGCAAAATTTCAGAGCTAGAAGTATTTCAACTTCCCAAAAAGCCAGTTGAAGAGCACCCCTTTGACGAAAATTTCCTGAAGCACTTGTTTTCTGTACAGCATCATATCTAACTTTTAGCGAGGTTAAACCTCTTCGAATGCTAAAAGAATACAATTCTGAACGATTTTCTCTACATTGGAACTCACAAAACGTATTGACAATTCTTACTATGGACGCTTGGTGAGAAGAGTGGCATTACAATAATTAGTGGCTGCTATTGGTGTCATATAGAACTTCCCAAGACTTTTGTCGGCAGGAAAAAAATTACTATGATACAAAAACAATACTACACAAGCTTGCAAGGAAACATTCCCAAGTGAGCCGCTCTATTTACATTCATATTATGCCCATATGTAGGGAACTATTATATTAGAATAATCGCCAAATGGTTCGTGTTCTTGTTAAGATTTGGCCGAAATTTCTAAGTTTTAGTGGATTTTTCCAATAGGACGTTAGTTTTTGGGTAAAATCATACCTTCGAGCTTTGATCTAAAACTTTTTCAACATGAAGATCTTGCTATGACTAGCTCATATATAAAGTTTAATCATTTTTAGACATTGTATATTTGAAATACAAATTTTTCAAACAAAGCACTGTTCTATAGATATATATATAATGTGAAGCATTGATATTTTGAAAGATTCAAATGTCATCAGCGACACGATGTTCAAGAATGATGAAAATTTATATATGAGCTAGTCATAACAAGACCTTCTTGTTGACAAAGGTTTAGATCAAAATTTGAAGATATGAGTTTATCCAAAAACTAACATCCTATTGGAAAGATCAACTAAAACTTGAAAATTTCGACGAAATCTTAACAAGAGCACGAACCCTTTGGCGATTATTCTAATTTAATGGTCCCCTATGTATGGGCATAATATGAATATAAACGGAGTGAATCACTTGAGAATATTTCCTCGTTAGTGTATTACTTAAGGATAGGAAAATCCGCTGGATGCTGATAATGAAAAATGTCTTCTGAAGAGAGTGTAGTTTTAAAAAAACTTACGTTTGCTCAGTGTATTCTTGCGAAGTCTTCTGTGCTGACGAGCAGAATAATGGTGTAATGAATCGAAATTATTCTATGCAAAAAAATGAAAGCATTATGTTGCTTAAAGAGAAATCGAAAAAAATAAATTGGCTTGTGTGCATTCATCCATATACATAAAATAGCACATGATCATATATTATTGAGATATCTTTTTTTTTCATACCTATATTATCGTTTTTTTACTTGTTCTCTCACTCATCGCTCAAGCAAGTTAATCGACGAAAAGAGAGAATAAATTGAAGGTTGAAAAAAATGTGCACTGTACCACGGCTTAATTTGCTTTTTTTTACCATAGTTGTAAGGTGCAGGAAATTCAAAATTACAGTAAAACATTTTTTGTCTTTTTTTGCACCTGGTTGGATAGAGGACACGAAATTGATTATAAAAAAGTAGTTTTAAACTTTTCAAAAAATATTTTTGATAGAAAAAAATTCAAAATGGTGAAGTACCGAATTTTTTTGGAAAAACAGGTAAATTTTGAAAATGATGTCATATTTTTGTTTTCTCATTATCTTTACTTGTCCAAACTAAGTTTTTCGTGTTCTTTATGTAAAATTGACTATAGAGAACTGTATTAATACAGTTCTCTATAGTCAATTTTACATAAAGAACATGAAAAACTTAGTTTGAAGAAGTAAAGATAATGAGAAAACAAAAATATGACATCATTTTCAAAATTTGCCTGTTTTTCTCAAAAAATTCGGTACTCCACCATTTTGAATTTTTTTCTATCAAAAATATATTTTGAAAAGTTTAAAACTACTTTTTTATAATCAGTTTCGTGTCCTCTATCCAACCAGGTGCAAAAAAAGCCAAAAAAATGTTTTACTGTAATTTTGAATTTCCTGCACCTTACATCAGAACTGCCGGCCTGGCCTGCTGCCTGGCAGGCGCCGGGTGGCCTGCCAGGTCAGGCCACCTGGCCAGGCTGAATTTTAAAATTTTGGCCTGGCCTGATCCGTCCATCTAATGTCCGGTCTGGTTACCAGGCCAGGCCAGGCCAAAATGGGTGGCCTGGCTGCAAAATGATATTCATTTCTCTAGTAGTCATCTTAAAACATGAGATGACACCACGAGTTGATCATTTTGTTCACTTTTAACTTCGTCATTCATAATTGGTGAATAGTATAGACCACAAGAGTAAACGAATTGAATGAATAAAGGAGAGGAGACAATATTTATGGTTGATTTATTTCAGCGAAAATAAAGCAAACAATGATTTTGTTTAATTGAAAGACAAAACACATTTCTTTTTACATTTTTTTTTATTGGCAACAACTTAAATAAACAATGTCAACTGAACATATTCATCGTTTATCAACATCTTCTACTTCATCTATTTCTTCAATGTCAATTGATGATATTCATATCTTATCAATCTCTCCTGTTTGATCTACTACTACATCATCAAATACAAATGTTTCAACATTTTCTTCTTCGTCAAATACAAATGTTTCATCATCTTCTTCGTCAAATTCGTTATCATATTCTAGTGAACGAATATGTTATTTATTAAAACATGAAAAACAACAATACGATATTGTTGATAATAATAAATCATCTCCTGTTGGCTCATATTGGTCTATTTTTGGATTTGTGTTTTCTTTTAATTCTTCGTCGTATCCCGAATCATATGTTGTTTTTGTTATTATGCTTAAATATCTTTCGATTATGCGAAGAAGTATTGATATCATCAAAAAATCTCGTAAATTCAAGTCTTTCTTGTATGAAAAATATTTAAGATGATTGTCTCTTTGTTTTAATTTGCTATTTTGTGGAAAAACTTGTTATTTCATTATCTTCATGAAAATAAATTAAATAAATAATTGAAATTGGAATCATGCATTAATGCAGAGTTATAGAATTTAATGGATTTGAAAAATCAGAAACATCAATTGGCCTGGTTTGGCCTGCAGGTCAGGCCAGGCCAGGCCAGGCCGCAGGCCACTCTTTGATTTTTGGCCTGGCCTGTAGGCTAGGTCAGGCCAGGCCAGGCCGGAAAAAAGTGGCCTGTTGGCATCTCTGCCTTACATCCATCACGATAATGTCCTCCACCAAGTCTACACATGAATTGAATTATACTTTTTCCAGTTAGGTTGAAACCTATCAATGTTTTATTATCTTCCAATATTCGACTTGAATATCGTAATAAGAGACGTCTCAGAGGAATTTTTTCTTTTTCTCGAATTAGATATTTAAGGCTCAGAATAGCATTGGTTGGAAGAAATTGATATACTTTCACTTTTTCGTTCATTGTGCCTCGCACAAATATTTCTATGCTTTTTTTCTTGGTTTTGCATTGTTTTTTCTTACAGAAAACGAGCTTCAATTTGAATATTCTAGAAAAACAAATGTAATCACATTATTATTTTGGTTTCAATGTCAAAAAGAGATGAGTATGGGTGTGGGTATGAGTTTGAATCTGTAGTTCTCAGAGACCAACACCCACACCCTAAATAAATAATAATCCAATAAAACAAACTCAAATTAATTTATTTTTGAGCTCATAATATATAGTGAAAATTATTTTTTATTTTTTGGGAATAGATTAGTTTACCATTGATCACTATTGAAATAAACTAATTTAGATCATCGACAGCACGAAACTCTGAGGGTTTTATCCATATAAATCAATTTAATATTATTTTTTCTGTTATCTCTTGAATCTGAAAGCATGCTTGATAGTTAACGCACACTTAACGATGTTATTTCTATGATTAGGATTACGAGATTGAATTAAACTCATTGACTTTTGCTTCTAGATACTTTCCTAAACTCTACTAATAGATCTTTGACTTGGAATATGAATTACTAAAGCTTTTAATTACTATGGAATATCTCTATTCGACAAATTTCGTACAAGTAACTTTAGTTTTTAATAGATAATGCAAATGGTAGAATATTTTGATTTAAAACTAACAGGGAAATGTTTTCTTCGAAAATAGACCTAACTTCTACAAAAAATAAATAGGTTACAAATACAGTACAGTAAGTGACATGTTACTTTCTCCTTAATTGGTATGCCCAATAAGTTCCGATATGTTCGATCTTCATCTATATAGACTCTAACTTGGCTTTTATTTTAAGAAACTATATGAATTGAAGATGAGAAAAAGAGAATGTTTATTAAAACGATGTTAAATATAAAATAAGTATTGAAATAAAGATCGATAATGTATATTTTATACTGATAGCTATATTGGATATTGTTTCATTTGGTTTGTTTGTTGTTAATTCACTTGGTTTATTCGTTGTTTTTACATGTGATGTATTTGTTCCCCAAATATCATCAGTACCAAAATATTGCATTGTTGCTTATTTGCTTCTAGTTGTTGCACCAGAGAAATCAATTTGACTTATTTTATTTAAACATGAACGATCAGGTTCAAATGTTGGTGATAAAATATATGTTATAGCTAAATTCCAACCACAATTTCCTTCTTCGTCCGTCATTGGTGTCGCATCTATATTATTTCAATTTCATAATTCATACGAAAAGAAAGAATTTACTTGTAGCTCTATAGGGCTATTCACAAATAAGTGGATATTATATAGAGAAAGTTTTAATATACTTTTGCTGAACAGTACATATTTCAGAGAAATCAGTGATAAAAAAATCAATCAACATTCGTATAATCATGATTAATTATAGCGACGTAGAGATTCATACTATAAACTATGTAAAAGTATCTTTGATTATTTTTAAATTCAAACAAAAGATAAGTTGAAAATACTTTTTATTAAAAGTAATAGTTATTCTACGATCAACAGAACCAAACCGAAATGATCTATTAAAATCGTTTTATTATCAATCGATTTATTTTTCAAAAGAAAACGATGATAAAATATTTACTTTGAATCTATCCTAATTGTCTTATTCTAAAAATTTAAATAATCATTATAAGCAGAGGGTGTGGGTGTGGGTGTGACTGTTGATGTATATAAGGCCCACACCCTGTCTTCGATTTTTCTTTTATGATTTTTTTAATTTAACTTGATAATCACTCTATGGAGAATGCGTAAAAACAAAAGAAAATGCAAACAAGACCATATTAATATGAAAACAGATATGGAGATTTATGGCGGATGATAGTAGCAGCAGCTATGACTTTTTTGTACGTCGATGAGTCATCAATGTTAGTCATCGCATCTTCTATACAAAAGAATGAAAAATATGGCATCTGTATTGCGCAACTTGAATTTAAAACAAAATAAAAGAACATCAAATGTGAAGAGTAAGCGGTCGAGCCGCGTTCTCGGGTTTAACCAATTTGAAACTTACCATTTGAGCCTGAAGCATTTGGACGCGGAACTTCGGTTTCGCAAGCCCGGGAACAAATCGATACTCGATCATTTTTTTTTCTTCTAATTATGTCGATTCATATCCAGTCTTGAAACTCGAAGTAATATAATGAAATTACAACCAAGAAAAACATATCAAGGAGGCATAATCGAGAATCTTTTTTTTTCATCATAATTATTAAAAGATAGCGGTTTTCTTTTGAAAGTCAAAAGAAAAGTTTGTTTCGACAAGTATATCATGAAAACTTCTGTCAATGTGATAAACAAAAGATTGTGGGTGATTGAACCTAGGTTTAATGAAGTAGACAACGACAGCTATATTCATACATTTCTTTCAGGCAAGAATGTTGACGAAAAAGTTATCGACATCTAGGCCAAGATAATTGCATACTTGAGTTGTTATGATTCCTAGAAAAAGTTGTTCATTATATTTTAACTGCTACTCATGGATTCTGGTTACGACGCAAATCGAGGGTGACGACAAAAATTACTAAACTCAAAATTTTTTGATTATAAACGCACTATCAATTTGATACCAGAAACGATGAACAAATAAAAATCGAACAAATTCTTCTTCTCATTGTGGAAACTTCAATCCTTCTGACGATAACTATTGATTGTATGATAGAGTGAGAACGTTACACTACGATTCTTCCCTATTCAATAATTCATTTTTATTGCATATTCATTTTCACAATGTTACACATCTTCACATATGGTACTTCCATTTTACGGTCGATTTTCACCCATCTTCCTGCTACTGGAAAATATGACATTCCATCATGTACCATGTACACGTGTGAGCCAGATTAACTTCTTAAGTTTTGATACTCTCAACCACCAACATTTTGAAAAGGTGTCATATGACAAGACTTGTCAATATTTTTATGAAATTTTGTCGAAAATATTTTGTTTATGTTATAAAACCACCTTTATATGTGAAGAAATTGAAGTTTTTCATCGAGGGTATAGGTGTGAGAAATAAAAGATTAATTAGAAAAGATCATTATCTGTTATCCTTTTATTATCAAAAATGATGTTGAATTTTTCTGTTTTTTTTTTCATTCAAATATACAGTTCAATATCATTTCCTTGCATATTATTCATTCTGAGAAAAATCTCTTTCGAGAATTAGTAAAATAATTGGTAACATTCTAGAAGTTGACTTCAATAAAACTTATCTGATAAGGAAAAAAAATTTTTTAACAGTTAAATGTTACCACTTGGCCTTAGCAATTTCGACAAACAAGTCTAGCAAAACATTTTTGACTTCATCATATCTAGTGTTTTGAAAATTTTTTCTAAACATTCAGCTCGAAATTATTTTGAAACTAACAAGTAGAATTATCATAGTCAACTCATTTCTCAAATGTGAAAGTCTTTCATTGAACAGGCGTTTTTTTTTACATAACATACCAATCAGTAATTCTATTGTTACATTGTAGGCATTGTCTCAAGAGTAAAGAACGTTTGTCTTTTAGTTACGAGCTATCAAAGTAATTATAAATAAAAGAAAAAAACACGAGAATCCTTTTGAGAATTGAATAACAAAGATTAAGGTGATCTACTAAAATATCCTTTGAAATCAGCAATAAAGGTTACAAATACAGTCAAAATTAGAACTCCAACAATAACATCACCCATGAGATATGTAAAGACTAAATTTGTATACAAACGATTTGGAAGTTCTCGTACTTTATCATTAAATTCAGGATTATGTTGTTTTTAATATTGTCGAATTTTCAATGATTGAATAAAACAAACAGTTTCAGCAAACGTTTAAAAAACAAAACTTATACACGCATATAATGAAGCTTGAAAATAATTATTAATTGAAGTTTCTTGAATTAGGATTTGATTTTTTGAAGATCTCTTTCTTTACATCAAAACAATAAGGTCTATCAAGTTTAGCTGAAGGTTCAACAATTGGTATACGACATTCTAGCTGTCCATTCGTATATAAATTCCAATCGAATACATAGATGTAATAAGATTTTTTCCATGTAACTAATGACGTTTTATCTAAACAACGTACGTCATGTGGTTGTTGATCTGTTTGTTTCATTATAAAATGGTAATCAGAGGATGTCTTGTTATATAACTCACAATCCGAAAGAGACGAAGAAAAAAGAAAAAGAACGAAGAAGATCAAGATTTTGATAACAACATACAAAAAGAATGAACGAGGAAGAAAAAAAAAGAGAACGAACAAATAATACATTGTATTGTTTCTATTTTTTTTGTAACGTATCTAAGCAATATTTGAAAGATCAATTTTTTATATTCTTTTCAATCTTCTTCATTCATTGATGGATCATCTACAAGTTTAAGAAATGCCGTACTTGTTATATCAAATACAGCACATGATGTTTTACAAAGTGCTAAAAAAAAAACAAACATTGGTTTTTCTTTTGTGTTTCAAATAACGATCATATTAAATTATTTTACAAGATTATTATCAATGCTATTTTACCTATAAAATTCTAAATGGTTTGTATTGGTAGAATTCAGAATTGGTTCCTTTAAATTGGCGCTGAGCCAGTAAATAGAAATGATAACCTTCAGCGAGACGCCAACCACTATCGATTAACTGTGTATCAAAAACCTCTCCCGAGCCTGTTGTTTGTTCTGTTAATAAACCTTGTAAAGCATCAGATCCCTATAAAAACATTACTTACAGCAATCCCTAAGTAGTGTTGAAGGTTCTTTATTTTCGTGTAGAAAGTTTAAGGAAACTTTTTCTTTTTAAGCGATGATAATAAAAAGAATGTACTCTGATCAATTATTTCAGCACTGTAATCCATGAATATCCGACATAGTTTCGCCGGAAAAAGGTATAGACTTGGCAGTAGAAATACATTGGTCGAATTTTTCTAGTGCCTGTTATTTTCTTAAGTTTTTCGGTTCGAATAACTCTGTCAGGTATTTTATTTTTCAATGATATTTCATTATTATTCAATTCATATCATAAAAGAAAGTTTCTATGTCTATCTTAAAATATGTGTTGCATTTTATATTCGAGCAAGAATTATGTATGATTATATATGAATAACTTAACTTTACAAGAGAATAGGGGCATATCAATGTGATGAAAAAAAAGGCTCTTCTAGAAATTTTATTGTTATGATATTAATTGAATAATGATGAAATATCATAGAAAAATAGAACATTATTCTTATTATGGCTGCATATAAAGACAACATTTTCTCGAATTTTCCGTATGGAAATACAATCTGCATCGCTATTGTTCGATTATACTGAGGGCATTCAAATTCGTTATTCTAGGAATTCTCTAAACCTTAACATATCAATGCAATAAATTGCGTGTAAATAGATCATTTATAGGATAGTCGATCAATTGAACTGAATCTTTTTCGTCTCTCCACCTCCCTTTTGATTTTAGCGATTAAGCAAAAACACTGAAATGAAAAATTTAATTTTCATATAAATCTTCTGTATAAAATGAATACTATTCTCTTTGTATACCGATATTACTACTGTTGATTTTTTCTCTTTTCATGATGTTGTTTTCATTACAGTACGATATTGTTGAACTAGTAATCCTGTTAGCTTGCTTCAATGAGCTTAAGTTTTTTTATTTTATTTATATATACATAAATGTCCTTGATCACGTACATATATATCTAGCACAATACCATAGTGAAGCAAGAAGACATAAGAGAGCAGAAAGATAGAACAACAGCGGTGCACCGACAGTTGAGCCCCCGACAGATGAGCCCCGACAGTTGAGCCCCGACAAATGAGCCCTCGACAGTTGAGCCTACCGACAGTTGAGCCTACCGACAGTTGAGCCTACCGACAGTTGAGCTCCCGACAAATGAGCTCCCGACATTTGAGCCTCACAAAATTGAAATTTCATCGATTAAATATAGAACACACGAAATTATTATTGAATCGCTTAATTCACTTGAAAATAGTGCACGGAAACATGAGACATCTTTCGATCGTACTGATGGCTCGTCGATATATTTTTCGTGACTAAGTCAATCATCTGTACAGAAATGAACAAGTTTTTCGAACAATATTTCTGTGACTCATAAAGGTTTTATCATTCTTGGTATATTTTTCTATTATCATTAACAATGTCAATCGTGAAATCTTCAAAAAACAAGGATCAACTTTTACTTAGTGGTTATCGTTATCGTCGTGCAAATAAATCTGAAATTATTTGGCGTTGTTGTCGAAATGACTGTGCTGGTCGTGTACGTTTTGATGGAACAGGTTATATTAAAGTTACGGATCATCTTCATGCACCAAATCCTGAAGAAACAATATCAGTGGAATTCAAATCAAATATCAGTTCTGGTGCAACAATATCGCATGATCCACCACGACGTATTATTCATCAGGCTTTATTAATTTTTTTTTTAATATGAGGCTCAAGTGTCGGGAGCTCAACTGTCGGGTCACGAACAACAGCAGTGCGAAAGAAAGAAAGAGAAGGTAGAACGACATCAAGGTAAGGATAATGGTGAATTATCATTAACAATTTTTCCCTCCCCTATTTGATGTGTGTCTTCACACAGGGATATTATGTGTGTT